TGAACACTTGCTTTCAAATCTTTGGGCACAAGCCTAGGGGTGGAGTTGCGGGGTCCTTTGCAAACTCTGTGTTTAACTTTTGAAAGAATCATTTCCTTCTTTGGTTGAGGTTATTAAAAAGATGATAATGAACACCTTACTCTCTGTCGCTCCCCGTTAGAGTTGTCAAATAAAGCACAGGACAGACACTGTCAAATGTGAATCTTACAGGGGTGCCTGGATGGCTCAGTGGTTGAGCATCTGACCCTTGATTTTGGTTCAGGTCATGATCCCAGGGTCTTGGGATCAAACCCCATGTCAGGCTCCATGCTGAGCGTAGAGCCTGCTTAAGGTTCTCTCTCTCTCTCTCTCTCTCTCTCTCTCTCTCTCGGCGCCTGGGTGGCTCAGTCGGTTGAGCGTCTGGCTTTAGCTCAGGTCATGATCTCACAGTTTGTGAGTTCGAGCCCTGCATCGGGCTCTGTGCTGACGGCTCAGAGCCTGGAGCCTGTTTCGGATTCTGTGTCTCTCTCTCTGCTCCTCCCCCGCTTGTGCTCTGTCTCTCTGTCTCTCTCTCTCTCTCTCTCTGTCAAAAATAAATAAACATTAAAAAAAAAAAGATTCTCTCTCTCCCTTTGCCTCTCTCCCCTACTCGTACTAGCTCTCTCTCTCTCAAATAAAAAAAAGAAATTAAAAAAATGTAAATCCTATATAAGGGACAAATACGTTAATTTTTAGTGTAAGTACATCCCAAATATTGCATTGGATATACTTATACACACATCCAATTTTTTTTTTGTCATTTATCTGAGATTCAAATTTAAATATATTTTTATTTGCTAACTCTGGCAACCCTGCACCTAATTCATGCCTTTTCTCTGCTGAGAACATTGTTATTTAGCCCCATGCTTACCTAAAATCTCTCTGTCTTTTGTGTATATACCCCAACACGGAGTTGCTGGGTCATATGGTAATTCTACGTTTAGCTTTCAAGGGACCACCAAACTGTTTTCCATAGTGGCTGCACCATTTCACATTCCCACCAGCCCTGCACCAACTTTTCCACCTCCTCCCCAAAACTCGTTGTGGTCTATTTAAAAAATTTGCAACAACGTTGTAAGAGGTATGAAATGGCATCTCATTGTGGTTTTAATCTGCAGTTCCCCTGACGCTTAGTAATGTTGAGCCCCTTTTCATGAGCCTGTCGGCCATCTGTACGCCTTCTTCGGAGAAACATCTATTCAGATCCGTTGCTCATTTTTTGATTGGGTCGTTTGCCTTTTGTTGTCATTGAGCTGTTGGTGCTCTTTATATATGCTGGATGTGAATCCTTTGCCAGATATATGATTTGCAAATAGTTTCTCCCATTCTGTGGGTTGTCTAAGATACTGTTGTTTACGTCACCCGTTTATGGCGATTTGTTACAGGAGCCACTCGTGCAGAAACTCAAAAAGTGTTCTTCCTCGGGGCGCCTGGGTGGCGCAGTCGGTTAAGCGTCCGACTTCAGCCAGGTCACGATCTCGCGGTCCGTGAGTTCGAGCCCCGCGTCAGGCTCTGGGCTGATGGCTCAGAGCCTGGAGCCTGTTTCCGATTCTGTGTCTCCCTCTCTCTCTGCCCCTCCCCCGTTCATGCTCTGTCTCTCTCTGTCCCAAAAGTAAATAAACGTTGAAAAAAAAAAATTTAAAAAAAAGTGTTCTTCCTCCCATGCCCCTGCCTGGCCCGGGACGCACGTGTGATGTGTGCATGTGCACACACGCACCCCGCCCCCCCACCTCGCCCAGACATTTTGGTTGTTGCCGGGGCGGGTGAATGCTCACTTCTCTCCATGGGCAGCAGGGAGAGAACCGGGTAGATCTCAGCCTGGATGTTTCCTGATCTGTAAAAGTGCTGCTCCAAGGAGGGCCCCAGCAGCCTTTGCACCTTGCTTCTGAGCAGCATCTCCCATGCACTCTTCTTGGGCGTCTTTTCTAAACACCTGGGAGTCCTTGAGAAGATGCTGAGGTTGGGGCACACAGCAGGCGGTGAGGACGTGCACACCCTTGCTCTTTGTTCTCTACTCCATCTTTGCGGTCGTGGCTGCGGTGGCCGTGGTTCAGTCGCTGACATGCAGGTTTTTGTCCGCATCCAGGAGCTACACACCCTCGAGGTGGCCATCCGGGAGCTGGTTGCCCACATCAAGGCTCACGGAGCCTTACTGGAGGGCATCACCCCAGAAGATCAAGTCGGATTCCTGGCAGGTACGCCCCCTAGAGGATGAGGCCACCCGGGGTCAGTGTGGAGCCGGGGCTCTGACCCCTGGAAGGAGGTTGGGAAAGTCCGTGGTTCCCTGGTCCGTGCTGGGAAAGTAAGAGGTCGGACTCCCAAGGTGGCCAAACAGGAGAAAACGAAGACGGGCCGAGTCAAGCAGGGGACACAGTACATACAACCTGCATTTTTTCTATGTTGTGCCCACCTTTGGCAAGAAGAAGGGCCCCCCCATCCTGCCCTTGCCAAATCTTAAGTCCATTGTAATCTTGGCTTTCTGCAATAAAGCCACTTACCTAGTTTAGTCACACACACACACACACACACACACACACAGATATTGAGGTTGGCTCCCTGGACCCTCAGGGTTTGGGAAAAACCAAGAAGCCCTCCTGCCCATTTTCTTTGCTGAGATCAGGTGAGGCTGGCTGAGGAGTCTTCCTCACTGCCTACTCTGGACCCCAGGCCCCGGCAGTGGGCTCACACTGGCGGTGGGGAGAGACCTCTGACCCCCTGTGGAGCCAGCACCCCTGTCCTCACATCTCCGGGCCAGGAATCCCTTCCCCACCTAGCCTGCTTCTATCTCCCGGGCAGCAGGAAGTGCAAGTGCTTGGGTCTTGTCCAAATTGCCTTCCTGCACCCTCTCCCTGGCTGCTGTTTTCCCCTGCATCCTCCCTTCCCTGCTTTGGGGGGGATCGACTGTGGCACCTCCTTCCTCCATCGGGTTGTCCCTCTTCCTGTGGACGAGCATGAAGGCTGCTTCTGGTTATTCACTGCCCCCAACAAAGCTGCTGTGAAAGCTCCTGGCAGGATCACCTTGGCATCTGTCCAGCGGGGTCAGAGGTCACACGCAGTTTCAGCTTTTTTTAGTATGGCCAGCGGTTCCCCAAGTGATGTCACTGCTGTGCCCCACAGCTGTTCCTGCACACAGGCATGCACGGTTCCCCGCTCTGGCTTTGGGGTCCTTGCCATGCTGTGCGGGAGCCCCATACCCTGAGGGGGATAAGTCTGCACGTCTGTCTTCCCATGCCAAGTTCAGACTGCTGACTGCTCGGAGGGTCTAGGAGCTGGCTGGCCCCATGGAAGAATAAAATGCTTCTCTCTCTCTCTCTTTTAATTAAAAAAAATTTTTTTTAACATTTATTTATTTTTGAGACACAAAGCATGAGCAGGAGAGGGGCAGAGAGAGGGGGAGACACAGAATTCGAAACAGGCTCCAGGCTCCGAGCTGTCAGCACAGAGCCCGACGCGGGACTCGAACTCATGAACCGTGAGATCGTGACCTGAGCTGAAGCTGGATGCTTAACTGACTGAGCTACCCAGGCACCACCTCTCTCTTTTTTAAGTTTATTTATTTATTTGTTTATTTATTTACTTATTTATTTAGAGAGCAGAGGAAGGGCAGAGAGAGAAGGAGAGAGAGAATCCCAAGCAGGCGCCACACGGTCAGTGCAAAAACCGACGTGGGGTTCGGTCCCACGAACCGTGAGATTGTGACCTGAGCTGACACCAAGAGTTGGCCGCTTAACTGACTGGGCCACCCAGGTGCCCCCAAAATACTTCTCAACAAGAGGACCATCTACCTCGTCTGCCCAAACCCCGCCCACTATGCCTCTCATCACTGACATGCTAAGAGATGTTTAACAGTCTCCAGGTAGGACAAACCTAGCCGGTTCCACCTTGACGTGACATTCCTAAAAATGACCACGCTCTGCAAATTTGCACCAACCACAGCGCTTATGGGGAAACGGGGACAGGTCACAGCTTTTCAACTGTGTCGGTGACACATTAAAAATAGATAGGTACCTACTAAAAACAGTAGGGCAATTGTACACATGTCGAACGGCTTAGAATGATAGGAACGTTACAGCAAATACAGCACTTGGTCTTTGGAAAGGACCTGAGGTTCACAGGTGGACATGGGTGTGGGAAGGTTGTAGCTCCTAACAGCTGAGGGAGAGTGTAGATGTTGAGAGGTGTGTGTGTGGGGGGGTGTTGTGTATTCCCATGCAACCTGGGTCAGCCGTTTTCTGCATTCATCCAGCGTTGCCCCCGGGACAAGATCCCGCATAAGCATCACCACCTTGGATCACAGCATGCTCAAGTCCACCCCTCACGTATTCACCACGTGGGAACAAATCCGTGTTTTCAAAGCAAACTTCAGAGCGGAATTCACCGGACCCCCCCGCCCACCCCCGCCGGTGGGTGGTCACTCAATGTGCTGTGTGGGACGAGAGGTGTAGTTATTATAGAATCTTTTCACCGCGAGATACAAGAGCCAGAAATGTCCTCAAGAGCACAGAGCATAGGAAGATGCAGTGAAATGAAGACGTGAGAACCTTCGAGTACTCACCACTCTTAATTGTAATATCGTGAATTTAGTTGCAAGTCTGTACAACTGAATTTTTAGCAATGGCTCTGTGAAACAAGGGCTCACACCGTTTCCTGGAAATGTATCAGCTGGTTCTTCTCCAGCGTTCTACTGCAGTTCGGGGAGGGGGCGGGAGGGGGCAGTGAGGATGTCAGCACGTTTATACTGAGCGCCCACTTTGAGCTAAGGGCCAGGTGCCCAGCAGCAAAAGGGGCTTCTACTACCCTAGGGGACACAGACGGGAAGAAAATGCTCCTGGGATAATAAGATCACAGCCCCCCACCCCACCCCGTGTTGGGCCCCAGGGAGAGAGTTAAGCTGGGTGATGAGGGGCATGGTGGTGTCTGTTCACCTCCTATTCACCCCATTAGTGAAAGAGGGATCCCCTGCACTGAATGCCTAACACCCAATGCCGGTCAGGTGAGATGGACGGTAGTTTCTTAGTCACATCTACTCACAGCCCCGGGTTGCGGGTTGTGGGAGGACCCAGCTCACAGGAGACCACGTGGGAGGGTGCCCTTGGGAGGGGAGTGAACCGCCAGAAGATGTTGGAGGCAGACTTCGTAGTAACAGGAGGGTGGGGTGCCCCTGGTTCCCATGGGAGGATGTGCCTGGCTTGTTAGAAAGACAAGGAGATGAGATCCCTTAGGTTGGGGACTGGTGGGGTGTAACCGGTCTGGCTGACAGGGGAATAGGTGGGGAGCAGCCTCTTTTGTTGGGCGGGGGGGCATATCTGGTGAGAGCAGGGAACTCACAGTTAGGCCCTTGGGGACCTGTAAGGGCAGCACGTCCAAGCTGAGTCCTTACAACACAGAGAAGGGAGTGGACAGTAGACCCTGAAGGTGGAGGGGGGCCAGCCTGTGACTCCAGAAGACCATCCCAGGCAGAGGGGACAGCAGGTTTCTCAGTCACAGGTTGTGGTGGTGGGTGGTGGGTGGTGGGTGGCCAGAGTCCAGTGGAGGAGGGAGCAAAGGGCTGGGTAGGAGGCTGGCTTCCTGACTGTAGAGGGGGACCTGGTTTATGGCCCAGCAAGAGGAGGTGTGGCAGGCTGGGCAAGCTGGGCAGGACAGATGGTACATTAGGAGGGTTATACTAGAAGGCCCTGCCTGGTTCCCGGGGTGGACTGAGATCAGAGGCCTGCACCTCTTCTTCCTGGTCTTGGCCCTCTCTGTGCCTGCTGATGTCCCCTTTCAGCCAGGCTCCTGCACGACCCCCCTCCAACGTCTGCTAATGCAAGCCCTGTCTGCCCTCGTGTCCCCACTGTCAGCCCAGGGCTTGGCCTAAAGCCAAGAGAGGGCTGATGGGGAGGCCACCCTAGAGGGCCCACTGTGCCTGGGAGCAGGAGGGGTTCAAAGGAAGTTTCCAGAAGGAGCAGGAGCTGGGCAGCCAAAGGAAAAGGTCAGAAGAACAGAGTTTGAGCACGTGGCACAAGGCATCTGAGGAACCAGGGTGAGGCTGAGCCATCAGGGCAGCCTGGAGTTTGGACTTGGTCTCAATGAACAGGGAGCCCTGAAGAGTTGGGGCAGGAGGGAAGTGGGGTCAGCATTAGACTTTTAGAGGGCCCTGGGAGCTGGAGTAATCCTCCTAGAGGGGTCAGTG